AGATCAAGATTATTCCACTCAAAAGCTATTATCATGATGCAGACCATCCAAGAGAATGCAAGCTACGATACAAAAAGTTTGCATTATTGTGGTGCGGTTTTGGCTGTAAAATTCAATGTTTGATCTAAATATGTTATAAGATATTCATAGCTTCGAGTTATCTAAGGTCCTAAAACCAGAACCCGAAGTTAGTGGGAAAGATTGGAGGCGCGTGCATCCCAGTCAATTTGCGTTTCTGTCAGAAAATTTGGGCTTTAAAACCCTGATAGATTGTAAAGTTTGTCTTTTTGTTGAAAAATCGTGGGCCTGAAATCCTCCCAAATGAAACCGGATTCTCAAACAACTGGTAATGACTTAAAATCATCAAAACTCTCTCATTCATAAAAGTCTTGAAAAACGTTTCTGCTCTGTCTGAATTTTTCCTCGAAATGCCCCCTTTTCAACGAATATATGTCCAACAATTACAAGCTATTAATCTGTTTCATAAATATACTAAAATGCGTGCGGTACAATATGATGAATAGAAATAACGATCAATGAAAGTAAATTGTACCAGGAAAAAAAATTTTGTTTTGACTTGATAACGGGCTATGCTCGAAACGTCGTTAATTATTTTAAAAAAAATTTTCCTGGTACAATTTACTTACATTGGTCGTTATTTCTATTAATCTGTTTGCCAGAAAAATTACGGATCCATGTGAAAGTAATAGATAAGAGCAATGTCAGTCTTTTGAGGTGACCCTTCTTGGATTCCAAATGATAATCGCTTGAAATTTGATTCACATTTCGATAAACTCTGTGAAAAAGCTGCTTTGCAACACAATTGTCTCAATTGAAACACATTTCTATTAGGTCATTTTAGCTATTGCTCTGTAGTGTGGTTATTGTGCAGCAATGAAAGCCCTCTCATGTGATTCCTTGAATGACATTTGATCACAGTATATTTACCCTAGTACACATGCATTCAACCAACCTTAAACTCTTGGGGGTGTTGAAAGCTGTGCAAAATTTGATCCCCAAAATCATATTTCATGACCTACCTCTGAACAAAAACCTTTGTTATTGGTGAAACTACAAATTGCAGTCGTAACAGTGGTGGTGCCAGCCACTAGATTATGTGGGGGGGGGGGGAAGCAAATTAGAAATTTTTTCGCCACGCCTACTTTACTGTCGGAAAACGCCCTTTGCTAACAAGGAACACTCGTGACTAACTTTTGGCTACGTTAACTTTCAAAATCTCAATATTAAATCACCAAAATATATCGCCAAATTATTACCCCGAATTTAGACGAATTGCAAAACTTATTCTACCGAGAATGTGTCCCACCAAGTATTCCAAACTGAATTTACTCTTCTCATTACATCAGGTGTCAAAGAAAACAACTTCAATATTTACCCACTTTTTATTCACACTATTACTGACTTTAATTATCCACTAGATAATTGCTTAATTTTAAGCACTTATGCTTCAACGCATACTTTTTTCAATAAAGTTTGGGTTGCATAATAAATAGCGTAATTAAAACACTCTTTCAGTATACATACGCTTATCAAACAGTGGCATGGTGATCGGGGTATTTAGTTTACATAGAAACCAAAAAACTACGCGAAAAGCCATGATTCATTTACACGAAATAAAGTTTTCCCCAACCCCAATCTAAAGAAAGAAAGAAAATGAATTTGCCTTCATTTATTGTATTGGTTTTGGTCAGCTTTTAGATCATTGTCAGGGGCGACCCCAAGCCTCAAAATAGTGGGGTGGACAATGAAGGGGTGAAGCTGATAAAGGGGTCTGGGTGAGAAACCGGCGTAACACCGTAGAGAAATCGCTCTCGTTATTGATAACCAAGTTTGACAAATTTTGAAACCCTCAATAGAAGAGTTAAATTTATAGGCAACAGTATACACACATGAAATTATTTCAAAAGCTTATTTCAGAGTGGTATTCTTTAGATAGCAATGATTTTAAACTTATTAACTAAGCTTCCTTTGTCTATTCTATGTGCCATATCTCGATCAATTCTAATTTTTGTCTGAACCAGGTTTCCAACCTTTCGTCTGACATTGAGGTTCAAAGGTGATGCAGCAGTAACAGGTGGGGCTGCAACTATACTATCCTTACAGCTTAAAAAAGTTTGGGTAGAAGTTTCAAAGTTAATTTTTATCAAAAACTTTAATAAGGAAGGAAGAGAAAGACCATACTCTAAGAACCAACTGTTTAGCACGGTAAAGCTGTGTTTTATAGAGCATCTTCATTTAGATTCTCACTAATGATCCAACACAGCATCCTCTGTCAGCTAAGATCTGAAGAAGAACCGTAACTGATCATCAAAATGAAAAAGGCTTCGATCTCAAAAAAGAAAACTAACCCCCCCCCCCTAATGCTTTTTTCAAAAAATTTCCACCACAGTCCTCCCCGTGGCGCCGCCCCTGATCGTTGTACTTGTCTCAAACTGCATTCCACACTTCTTAATAACATCATGCACCAAGCAATGTACAACTCTACTTACGACCTCGTTTTCAAAAATACTTCAAATTTCTTCAGGTTAAGTTTTTGTGGCTTCAGATTCAGATCGAAAACAAGAAGCATAGTCCACAAGTAAATTTCCTTGATGATATTGCTCGTTATGTTATGACGACGTATCGCTAAAAATATTGAAAAGTTTCACCCAGAACGATTTTTGCTAGAAAACTCTCTTATAACCTTTAAGCTTTATATCGTCATAGAATCTACAATACAAGCACAAACAATACAAGCACAAACAATACTAGCAATTATATCATGGTGGTAATTTTTTATCTGGGTTTAGATTGGTAATGAACTTTGGAATAATTTTCAGAATGAAACCGTTGATTGAGTTAGTGTATTGAATTAGTGGTCCTCAAAATTCTTGCACATTTATAAAGATTAACGACATGGAAAACCCAATGGCATCTAAGCCAAGAAGAGCTACATGTTTTAACAATTTTTACTTTTGTACTAATTGTGGGGGTTTCATAGGTGGCAGGAAGTCCAGTATTCAGACAACCTTTAGACAACACAAACAACGAGGAAGTAAGAAATTTAATTGCAATGTAAACCACAATTTCATATATTTGTACAGAAATGTCCCTATACTTAATTTGCTTCACAAAATCTTTGCCTTACTTCTAGAGCTGACATATAATAACAAATATCTTTATTTACAATGAGCATTTTAAACTATATCAGGTGTTAATAAAGATTAGTCAATGAAACATGGTTTAAGCAAGGTACTCAAACAGTTAGCGAAATGATTTCATGGAACATTTTAATTAGCCTCTAGAAAAACTTGGATATTTTTAGATGTTGACTGAGATGAGACTTTTGTCTTAGGCTGGATTGAATTTTAATGGAAATTTTTCACAGCACTTAGTAAAAAGTTACATGCATAAATATGATAAACGTAATTACACTGAATTTTATGTGTCAGTGCTATTAGTTGGCTCAGCCCATTGGCTTTGCGACAGCTTAATTCTTGTTGCTTCATTCTCCCCTTGGGCTATACGAAATCTTAATATGCTTTTAAGTTTATGGTAATAAGTTTGTGGAAGATGATAGGTGGTTTCCCAATTAAATTGATACGAGACTTTTCATTAATTAGCGAAAGGTTAATTGGTGCAAATACCACAAATTATTTCGAAGTTAGCAAAATGAATGGCTAAAGAAACCAATTCCTCGTCTCCAGTTATCGATCCAGTTTCATTTAAATCATTACCAGAGGAAATCAAAACTATTCTTGTCCAATAGAGGTGGACTACGAAAGCTTGACCGGTCTGTATTTGAAGAGGTTTAAAACTGGCTTTGACTTTCAGCGCCGTGCCAAAGAGGCTGCCTGGGAGCAGATCCACTAAGGGTGTGAGCAGGTACTAACACCCAGGGACAACCGATCAAAATATGATGTAGAAAAGGGGGCTTAAGAATTTTCAAACATGAGTAGAGCTTAGGCCATATTCATTGATAAGATAGTTAATGTAAATTCTAAAGGCACTAATCAAAAGCAAACTGCCCTTGCTGCCACAATAAGCTTAAAAATTTGGATCCTTTTTCCTGAACATGATAGTAGAGGATTTACGAGCATACATTTGCTCTGAAGGTGTTTGTCACAATCTGTCCAAAATAGTTTCAAGACCAGGCCAAGATGCTGACATCAGGTGATGAGACAGAAAACCCACCAGAGTTATTTCCATACAAGTCATAGTTTACGAACTCTGTCAGATAAATCACAAACTAGTCAGTTGACAGCTCTATTTCCTTCTAGCTAAAAGCAAACCTTATATGTGAATGGTATTGACAGGTTTGATTCTCGATCGTGTGCTTGTATTTCATCGATGGCTCAACTGACGAACTCATTTGGTCTTAGACGGCCAATTAAATTTATTGGAGAAGACAAAGACATAAGACCAAACACAATATAGCATCGTATCATCATATAAACAAGAGTAGGTATTGCTTTAATCAAGAATTAAAATTCAATAGAGGTGTGGATACTTGTTTGCGTAGCCATGGCAAAATCTTCAGCTGTTAAAACCTTGCCGGATACCAAATCTAATGCAAAAAGATCCAAGCAAGGTTTGCTATCGTTCAATATTTGATTTAGAGCAGGATGTAGAATTCTCAATTACTAAAAATTTGTATTGTTTACAGACCCTAAATAAATACGTTTCTCATTTGACTAAGCTCTTGTTGATTTGAAAGGGAATTGTTGAGCACATAGCAAATCTTAGCAACCTCTAGCATACAAATAAAAACGACATTCACAAATTCTCCGTTCCAAAGCCCAGCCCCTTAATAAGAAAAAAGAAAAAAATCCAAGAGAAATCTACACAGAGATATACGTTGATGAATTTACAAAACTAGCTTTACATTAATTTTCAATTGGTTTTCTACAGAAGAATAAAATAGGCAAGGTGTTGGGGCATTTCCACCCATGGCTTTTAACGACTACACGAAAAGCATAGATATACGTCATCTTTGTCACAAGCGGCAAAAGAAATTGACTGCATTTTAAATGAGCAGAAGACGCCTTTGTTTGAATATTAAACTCATCTACGGGTTATACATTAAGCGCAAGATTAATCAAAAAGTAGAGTACCACAGGAATCCATCTTGGGTCTATTTTTATTCATCACCTATAACATAGCAGAGGCCTTCAAAACGAGTATGCATCGAAAACAGGTACCCTTTTGTATCAAATAAGAGATTTTATTTCAATTCTAAACACAGCGTTCTAAATATTGGCAGTTGATTCAAAGCCCTGAAACATTACCATCAAAATACTAACATTACTGAAATGACACCCTTCAGGGTTTACACGTCGGATAATGACCAAAGAAAAGCAGAAAACTTGTATCCAGGTGTGGATCAAAGGTAATGTGAGAGGAAGAAAGACGCTTTAGATTGGTTCTTTTGCTTTTTACCAATCATCGACCACAAACACCTTTCCTTTCTTTGGAACCACACCTGGACATAAAATTCCTTTAGTCAGTATCTTACGTTTATACTCTGAAGGGTGTCAGACGAAAAGTACTTCAGTATGCCGTGTTTCCATTATTTCGTGCCAACTTCAAATTTCGAGTTACCAAAGCCTATTTAATTATGACTCGGCTTGCATTCACTTTATCTACAGCGAGCAGATGCAACTCATACAAAATTGATAGCCTCGTATTCAAGCATAGTAGCCCAATTGTCACTTTCATTTCGCATAATGTACGATATGCCAATAGAAAAATTGGCCCTGAGAAATTTATGATAGAAAGGTAGATAGATTTGCTTTTCTTATGCAGTCACAGTGCTCGTACAAATGTTGAATACTACACGAGTTGCTCTATGTATAATTTTCCGAAAGTTGAACATTATAATGGCTGATAACACCTACAACACCTCTTGTTTAGCAAATAAAATTACATTTAACAAGCTGAATAAGGTAACGTTTTGGCGATTTGATTATCATCATCCATTTTAAGTATGTAAACGAAAATTCCAAAATATCCAAAAACTAGAAGAATATATATTAGAATTCAAAATATAATGAAATCTGTGAAATTATAAGCTTTTGTAAACTGATGACGATTGTAGAATGATTCAACTATTTTTCGAGCTAGTTAGCATCGTGTTATTCTGTACATTTCGTCCGAGTTTGGTAGTCACTAGATTTATCGTTTTACCATGGTAATCAGCCCTGCATCAATACAGATTAAACAAAACGGGCTAATGAAGACACTGGCAAGTTGGTTTCATCTTTTGTTTCAATATTTCATGAAAGCGCATTCGTGATTATTCTTGTTCTGTTTATGCGATAAATTAGTCATTATGTGGCTTTTACTTAAAAAAGAAATGCTTAAAATTCATTTTAAGGCGTTACATCTGATTTCAAATGCATTGCTTTGGAGATAAGGTGGAGTGGAAAGGAGATTAAAATATTATCTCAAACAGTCTAAATCTTTAGGATCTTTTGTTGAATGCTAAAGCTGATTTAGTTGTTTAATGCTCCTATCTGCTTGGTTGGTGTTCACGACAAATGACGAACTATGTTTTCTATGGCGCCAGTTGTGAGCAAGAGGAGTGGATTATGATTCTTTTTAGCATAGGATAAGAGATTACAGACAAAGGAGGGGGTGTGGGGTCACACCCTAGACAGTTTTTGAAGCGGCCATCGGTTATTTTATTGTCTGGAACGGTAAAAGGTGAAATTAAGACCACGTGCTGTCAGTAATTTTCAATAATTGTTGCTGTTATACTTTGAAGTAATTAAGAGACTTCTATGATACCAGGCATATAGCCAGGCTGTACTATACCAATTCAGACGTTTCTCCGCTTCTCTATTTCTCCGCTTCTCTATTTCTCCGCTCTCCCGCTTCCCCGCTTCTCCGCACCCTCGCCTCTTCGCACCTCTCTTCTATTTCCACCCTCCAACCTATGTGGCTCTGATACCCATGTTATAATGAACTATTCCTGAGCAAGACTGTTCCGTAGATTACCATGCCCAACTCTTAGTCAGCGATTCTCAACTGTTTCTCGAGCTGGCTGAGTTTGACGCGAGGCTCACAAAAATATCATAATTATGTTTCATATCTTGATGTTTCAAATCAAGTGTTATCAGGAAGGTGACATTTTTCATGACCTTTCACTGAGCTGTTGGGTCGTTCTCAAAACCACATCGCAGTATAAAAAAGGGTTTGAAATTTCAAAGCAAAGAAAAATGAAATATCAAGTCTTGGGACGAATTCTGGAAAAAATGAAATGAAGCCGTGCATGAATACACGATCAAACTTGCCATCCACATTCAAGACTTTTTTGTAGATAGGGTGAAATTCTTCCATAAAAATGCCCATGTGCCCATCGACCAATTTTTAATTCATTAGTTGATTTACCACGTGTCTGCCTCGTTAAGCGGGCTAAATTTGCTTCATACAATATGCAAGAAATACCAGCTTTGCTTCCTGGCTTCCATTTCAGGTGGAGCTCTTATTGATTCCATATGATAGTCAGATTCCAATTATCGATTTTTTTAAGCTTGGGAGTTGAATGACTTCAAGGTTTTGGCACACGGCACAGTTAAGAGTGTTCCAGTCATTGAAATGATTAGAGAAATTTTGAAGTTTCTAGGAAGTTTTGTATTAACTGTGGACTTCGCTTGCTCTTTTGACATGTAATGTGATAGAATGAGACTTTTCGCCTATCGCTTCTACTCAAATTAGCAGGGATTTTGTGTGGCAAAAGTACTCAAACTTGACAAATCGATGCATATTCACTTCGTTAAAATCTTCTCTTGAAAATCAGAAACAAAAACAAAAATATTCCTTATGAGATTGTCCCTAGAGCAAAATTTTGGAGGAACATTGATCTTTGTATGATATAATTTAACAATATATTCTAAACCAATGCAATTGAATGTTTATTCAGAAACTGCGACCTTCTTTTTCTGCGAAGTTGAATAAAGACAAAGTAGTGTAGCAGTTGAATTCTGTTAAAATGCGCAGCACTCCACCAGGTCCGTTGCGCAGCACCCAACCAGATCCGTGAATAGCCAGCTCCGATGTGGTTGACACCCCAGCCACCCACTCTAGACGCCTCTTCATCCCACTTTCCCAGTCAAGCTCTTTCAGTAGCAAATAACACCACAAATTACATTAACTTGAATGAAACTTTTGTCATTTCATTTCTTTTCAGTATCTTTCAGTAACTTTTCAGTGAATGTCATTTCTCTGATTCAGTAACGGCAAAATGATGTCTATAATGACACGAAAACGAATGAACTGGCTTTATGCTAGTCCTATGTGACGCAGAGGTAATCTGTCTTGAATTGAGGAACACACTGAACTTTACGTTACAAAAACGGTAGGATTTGATCTTTGGAAAGCGGGCAAGGATTCAGTTCTAGCGGATACTGATCTTTGAATTCGCCAAGATTATATCTCATTCTAAGTCAACTGTTCGGCATAAAAATTGACATATCGACAATAAGGGTCAAGGTGTTTTCGTCGAAAGAATTCATTGGTTATTGCTATTTTTGCGTTTCGTTGCATTTGACAAGGGAACTTTGTCACATGAAGTTGGGACAACCCCTATTTGAATTGAACAAGTATTTTACAATGCACTGATACACAGATAGAAACGCAATTAGACGCTGATACTTATTCATATACAGTTAATGTTTAAACCTTTGTTTAAACGATAATGAATGACTGATTCATTAAACAAACGCTGTTACGTAAACCTGATAACTGTTAGCTAAAATTGACCCAAAAGCTATAAGACCTACTATTTTCACTAAACAGACATTCTATGATAAGAAACCCATTGAGCTACTACATCGAAATCAAAGAAAGCATTTTAAACAAGTGAATTGAATTGGGGCTTACTTTGGGCAGGCATACAATCAAACAACGGCAGCATGATTTAATGTGCGTACGCAGACATGAGGGAAAAAGAACAAGGTCCAACGTAACCTTTACCCATATCGCGAGGTGGGTTATCTTTAGTTACAAGATACATAAGTCTTAGCCTGGGTTCGTTCCAGTAGTGTTGTGGTGATATTGTTTATCAAAGAAAAGATTTCAGCAGAAAAAATCAATTTTCAGCAATAACTATGGAGGATTGGATTTTTATTCTTATTCTAAATGGATGCTACGAGTACTAGAAAACTATACACGTACAAATTTTGAAAAGAAATAAAACTTTTGAAAAGGAAACCTGATAAATGGGTGGAGAAGAAGAATTAATTCTTAATTCATCGATATATGATTTCAGTTACACCCAATGAATAACGCTCAAATACAAACTAGATACATCCTTCACCTTAACCAACAATCCCTGATCACCTCTTAACCCACTCCAAATGCCTATTTATGGTGACGTATTTCAACAAAAACCGAGTTTCGAATAAATTTCCAAGGGTCCGTTTTCTTGAAACATTCTGCCCGGGGGTTCTCCCATTAAGGCCTGACAGAGGGGTCCAGTCCGTGAGGGTCTTACCAAATGGCTACCAAATGGCCTATTTTCGATAATAACTGAACTGCTCAGTTTAGCTTGCGATTTGTTATAGATAATGAACAAGATTCATCTTTCCCGAAACAACAACAATCAATTATGAAGAAGTTTGTCAAAAAAGGACCAGGGGAGCACAAAGAAATGGATGCTACCAAGGAAGTAATTTCGGTTTCTATGCTACCGTTTGAGGGGTTTTGTCAAAATGTACTACCATTTGAGGACAATTTTTTAAAATTTTAGCGCTGGTCCTCTTTGACCCTGACCGGACCCCCCTGTCAGGCCATAATGGGAGTAACCCCCTCCCGGGACATTCTGCTTCAATCATTAAACGAAAACACATTTCTTAGAAGGCAATAGCAACTTCACTGGGCTATTTTATGTCTATTTGCTGTTTTTCTACACAAAAAGATGCGTATCCAAACTTCAGACTCTCTGATCAATCCCGCTTTGTTTGTTTCGGTTTTATCGCAAAGGAAACGAAGCGTTTTCTCGGTTAGCCACCTGTTATATCATTTATTCTCCATCGATTTTCAAAGAAAAACAAATTCGTAAATAGAAAACATATCCAAAAGGGGGGAATTTTCGCTTATTAGGGAAGCTATATATGATACATACATACATATGAATAACTTCATAAAGTTGATGTTCCTTCTGTATTGATTGGATGGCAAATATTCTACAGCTTTTGTTCAAAACGACGTGTCTTTTGCCTCTTATCAGTGATTGTGTGCACAAAGTATGCTAAGATCCAATATTTTATAAACTTGTGGTGGCTAGATTAAGTAGAAATTAAACCATTTTACGAGCATTTGTGCATAGAAATTAAAATTGTCACCAAAGTCTCCTTTCGTCCATGCTTGGAAACACAGCATTTCAAATATCACACAAACCGTTAAATTCTCTTAAGTAAGTGGGATATCTCGGTCGTAGGTCAACTCTTGAACAATTTCTTTAGCAATAAAACCGTGAATCAATCGCATTCCTCCTACACTTAACATCCAAGTTGTGTTTACTATCCATCAAGGTCCGAACGGCTAACAATTCTTGCTCTTAAAGGGGTCTTATTAATATCAAGACCAGCAAAGGTCGATTCTTGACAAAATTAGATTGTCCAAAACGAAGTCAACCTTCATCGCGAGATTTTCGAGATTTTCGCCTTTCTTTTTTCGATAACAAAGTAGAGTTACTTTTCTTTTCATGGATTTTCGACATTTTTCTCGACGCCTTTGCTTTTTCCATTTTATCGTCTTGTTTTGTATCGTCCCGTTTCTCAACGCCATTCAAATCATCCCCTGTGGTATCCGAAAATGTCACTATTTTAGTCTTTTCTCTTTCTTTTGGTCTCACGAAGCCTTTTCGATAGGAAGGCGATTTCTCCACAGAACAAATTAGATTAAAGTCTACAAGTAAATCCTTGTACGTATTTGGCGAATCTTCGGAAAACTCTCTTCTCGCCATAAATCCTCCCTTTGAAAAATTTCTTTTTACAATCAGTCTTCCTCCAGCTTTTAAGTCTCCGGTTACTCTAGGAACAGTCTTACTTCTTTCCCTTTTACTCACGATCCTTGTTGTTAAATTCCCAATTGTCAATTTTGGCAGTTTCGATCTTTTCGCATGGGTTACGTCCTCGGTAGATGAGCTCATATATCTTCTTCCGCTTGATTCCATTTGTATAAAACGATTTGAATGATCTGCTAAAGTAACTGTTTCCGCCAGCAAATCGCCTTTGACGCAGTTATTCGTCCTTGTAAGGACTCTTGGCTCATCTTTGAATGCAGCAGAAGCTCTTTTCGTACAACAATTCAATTCATCATTACCTGCTGTATATACACACTGATTCAGACCTGTGACTCTGTTTACTAGTGCTGCACATGATCTGTGCCCAAGTTTTAAAGCCATGTCAACCGCTGACATTCCTTGCCTGTTTTTAGTCTCGACAACACCCCCGTTCCGCTTGTAGGCTTTGCAGATGAATCTAATGAAGCTACAATCGCCCGAGCTGACGGCATGAAATAAAACTGTGTTCCCATTGAAATCTGTACTGTTCAGATTTAGGGGTTGGTTACTCCTTAAAAAAGCATCAACGATTTCTTTTTGCCCCCTGGAACAGGCCCAATGCAAAGCATTCCGACCATGCATATCAGTGTCACAAATGCAGGCGTCATTTTTTAAGAGTGTAGTAACCATTTCTAAACTTCGTCTCTTGTCACCAAATTTGCATGCCTCTATCAAGGCTGTTGTGCCTGTCTCATTTTGTCTTATATCAAAATTGGGATTCTCGATAACTAATTTTATGGCTCGAATACTCCCTTGCTTTACAGCCTGAATAAGGGCCATTGAGATTACAACGATGAAAACATTTACTGTCTACCTTTTGGCGAATCGAGAAGCGTTTTTTTATTGCTATGAATGCCCGAACGCCGTAACCATGGAAACAATCGACTCAAAGTGAGGCAGCGAGCAGAGTCATCAAAACGCCGGACTAAATGTTGATATCATGGCTGCTCGATTTCGGGTTACCTTTCTGATGAATCTGTTTACTCCAGCGTTGATAATCGTGAGGTACGCTTGATGGTTTAAGCCATGGAGACCCTTTTAAGACAAGAGCTTATACTTGACATGCGTGTGCTCAGGTTTACATCAGGTTTGATGCGTTTTGATAACCTCGAAATCCGATACGACAAAGCAGCTTTTTGTGTCACAACCAACACTTTAAAACCTTTTACAACTTGACAACAAGATACAGTATGCTCGCCTTACCTCAGTAAATTTAGTTCCCAGTTAAGCTACAACACGATATGCAATATGCGAATTTCCTCTTTCTCTTCGGCATCAGAATTTTCAATTTTAAAGCAATGATAAGGATTCCAACATCAACCACATTATTTGTATTGTTGTTGAGCAGCATGGGTTAATACAACCCACATGACGCAGAATAGTCTTCTCTGTCCTCTGATAGTCAAGTTTATGTCTGTGTGCAATGGAGAGGCAACGTTCTCTTTGTGTCAAAACAAAAGAGACTGTAAATTACGATCTGATAGAAAGGCTGTTGCGTTGCTCCGCATTAAACGAGCTGATGACTTGAACATACAACAATTCAGTATCTATGTCTTAACTTGAGTGTCGATTAAAATCTTGAGCCGAAGAAATATAGCGCTCACGAGCACCCTGCCCACCTAATGACCACAGTTTATTCAATTCTATTGTCAAGGCATTAATTTTACGCAGTTGGCAATGTGACTTTCTACACACTTCTTTATGAGCTTACTGCTTGGTTGCTGTTTTCTACCGTTTGTTTTCTACCGCAGACCATAGTTCTTCATTTATAGTTTTGTAGGGCTGCATGGAAAGCATTCAATGAAAATAGTCACAAAAGCCTCATTGTACCTTTGTGTAGTCATAAAAACCTATATATGCCAGTTACCTATTATAAAGTGAATGAGGCAGGTTTCGAAAGAGAAAAAGTTGAAGTTGAACCGTCAAAGCAACAATGGGACTAACAGAGATTTTCTACCACAATATTTCTTGATGAAGACAGTTAAAAACAGAATTCAATGCCCCGAATCATTATCACTAGACAAGACATGACCCAGTCACTGGGATTTTGTTGGCATTACAGCTTTAGTAAAGACGAGAACTTTTATCTAATTTCATTTCAAACTGAAGCAAAACCTGCTGTCAGAAAAACGATAACATCTTCATGGAGAGTCTATCGCACTACTTTGCAACACCATTTGAGGATAAGGTGAAAAAAGAGTAACCATATCAGTGATCCTGGAACAAGGAGGCAAAGGGGGCAGAGAGGGCAGAGGGGGCAGAGGGGGCAGAGGGGGCAGAGGGGGCAGAGGGGCAGGGGGGCAGAGGGGGCAGAGGGGGCAGAGGGGGCAGAGGGGACAGAGGGGACAGAGGGGGCAGATGGGGGCATTGGAGGCAGAGGGGGCAGAGTGGGCAAAGTGGGCAGATGATCCTTGTGCACTTGACGAGAAATGTCAAAAGGGGACAGAAAGTGACCAAAGTAAATAGAAAGGAAGAACGAAACATGTATTTGCTGAGTAGCCGGAGGTGAAAGAGGAAGATGGACATTTATTTGAAGAGCCAATATATTTTACAAACACTCTTCGTGTATAAAGCAAAGAAAAGAATGATGATAACATTTTCTCCAAAGCAAACGACCTAGCATTTCTGCTATATTTTACATTTATGCTATCATAGAGGTCCCTTGATCATTGGGATATTCGAATGACCTGACTTCTTGATTTATTAAGATTTCCTAGCTTTGATAGCTGTTGTTCTCGTGAGGTATCGAAAAAAGTTGCTTCTGTAAAAGATTTGAAACCTTTCTAAGCTCTGATTACAATCTCCAGTATGAATTTCACAATTAGTAAGATGATGTGTCAATTACAACTTGTGCATAATCAACGAGCACCCCCCCTCTCCCCTCGTCAAGAAACTATAACAAGTTCTGTGTAACCTCTTCCCCAAAATGTTTCCTTTTATGGGTAGAATACAAATTCGAATATATATTTTTATTGCTATGTGTCGGTTTATTCATATTTTGATAATCCGTCTTGGGATCTGCAAAGTGAGGACATTGAACAACATCAAACAATTGATAGTCACGAGAAACCATTCTTGTGGAACTGCAGCTTAGTTTTTACAAACAGTAGCTTCAAAAATTACTTGGTTGAAAGAAAGGCAAAGCACCTGTTGATTCCCATGTAATGCATACATGTAAACATAGTTTGGCAGTAATAAGGAATTTGCAGCCCCTAGGCCACTATAGCTATGCGACCTTGTCGATGATTTCTTTTTATAACCATGCCATCAACACTCTTTGAAACACCGAGCAAATCGAAGGGGAAGGGGACATCCGTAAGAAACAAACACAAGAGAGAGATGAAGGACCAAACTGCAACGGTAGCGCACATCATTTTAGCTTGCCATGCTGATCTGTTGCTAGGGACGTTTCTGTGAGTACTCACAATATGACTCATAACATGGCAAAAAAGATGGTATGGAAACTAGAATCGTTCTCTTTGGTGCTGTGTGATGCAATTTCTTATTGGTTTATGATAGGAAAATCTTATCACCATCAATAACTTGTAAAATATTTTTAGAGGGTTTTTAGCGTATCTTGCGCTTTTAAATCTCCTTAATCAGAATTGTGCATAATGACAAATGTACCAGAGATCTTATCAAAGAGGGTGAGGGGCATGCCCCCATACTGTTAACTCTTAAAAACTACAAAATCAAACTCTCATCTTTCAAGATTTGGGGTGGTCCTTTTGTGTATTTTTATCTTTTTGGGTTTGCTTCATAGTTTCTTGTTTTCATAAGTTTGCAAAAACAAGTCTGGAACGTTTACACATTTGAATGGTATCCATGAATTTACTGTTACCATGTCTCCTGAATATCAGAGCTATTAGCGAGACTCAACGCTCAGGATAAGATTCAAAGTAAGCTGACACTGGCTTCATTTTTCAAGATAAGTTTGTCCCATCTAAAAAACGCGTAACGAATCGCATGGTATAAGGAAGGTCAGATCTTGCCCTTGATTGAAAATCTATTACAAAATAATATCAAAATATAAGAATTGGATCATATCTCCAAGAAAGGAACGTTTAAGAGTTGGAGAGAGTCAAGGAGATGAGATTGTATTCCTGATTAGAAATTCATGGCATGGTAACAGACCGACACAAGAATTTTTTCAAAAGATGCACCAGAAGACTGTCTAACAGTTTGCTAAGTCATCAGTCCTCAATCTGGTATTCAAACCCACACAGGCCTCAGTCTGGTATTCTCTACGTCATCAGTCCTCAGTCTGGTATTCTCTAAATATTTTTACACTGTTTTGCCGTGGTTGTTAATATATTGTTTCTATTGTGAACTTTTGGTGGCCTGCGTGGGTTTGATTACTAACCTTGAATCACCCTTGTTACCATGTGCGAAGAAACTTTCTAATAACAGAAAGCCTTTTTGATTATTTTCTTAATTTCATTAAATCTCTGCTCTTGAAAGGATTGGATGTTTTTTAAAGCAGAAAAGCACAGTTAACAACGTGGCAATTACCCAAAGATTCCCCTACGTCTATGAGAGAAACTTATACGCCATTGTGGTGTTGGCTAGACAAATGCAGAAGTGAAACTGCTCATGCAAAACACTTCGTTTGAAGTTAACATAACTGCATTGCAAATCTTGTATTTACTCAACTACATGCAATTCTTTTAGCTAATGTAACAAATTTCCCGGATAAATGAGCCCTGAGGGTCATGATTCCTCAGGTTAAAGCAAACCAATCACCAGAGAGTGTCAAGGAATGGAAGTTACCTTGTGATTAATTCCATCATCAGTAGAATATTTAGAGTTACTTTCAAGAGAACTGAGCGATTAATTAGCTAGTTAACGGCCTGCTTCTTTTAATAAACGTCAGCTTCCAATTAATCTTAAGTTATAACGAATGCTCAACACATTTATGTTAACATGGAGACTTTGATATTTACGGTTTAAAGGAACGGAATACCCGCGTTATGTAGTTTAAGAAGTTACAGTATGTACTAAAAGAATTTTTCGGTCTCTGATTACAAGGCAAACAACCAACAAATCATGATAGATTTTTCGATTCTCAAAGCCAATGAAATTCTGCGAGTATTATGCTAAATGTAGCAAAGAGGCTACCCCCTTGATGCACAGAAAGGTAGTCTCTGACAAATGCGTGGATCTCCAACTCAGTTACTACCTTAGAGGTGTTAAGACCAACAAAATATCCAACAACGGGAAATAATAAAGGCAAGACATTTTCTTGGATATACAACTGACATTAACTATCTCGACTGCCTGCTATTTCGAAAATTTATTGTCTCGGAAGTCAGACTTTTTTCTTTTTCCCCTTGTTTTGATTTAAGGTTATATAAGAGTTCTCGCTATCTTGAGAAAACACCCATAAATTCAATCGAAATTCTGAACCTACTCGCAATCTATCTATTAAAATTCTACAAACACCTTATGTCAATCATACAGCCATCTTATCAATATCCATATACGTAGACTGTTTATTTCCCAGAAGTGGCTGAAATTTAAATAGAAAATAGGCTCTTACTATTCACAAAGTATTAATCATACATTTGAGTTTAAAAAAAAGAAAACGTATCCAATGGCCGCAAATATAGAATATTAAGGAGCCTTTTTAATATGCTCGCTTTAATAAAGAATATTAAGTTGACATCCGCCATCCCGAGCATTCGTTAACTCAACCAATTTTTTCCCTTGAAAGAAAATTGCCAATTATTTCGAGTTTTACGAATTTTCTGCTGAACTGGCTAAAGAAACAGGCAAACATTGTGTTTATAAGTATCAGATAAATATTTAATCCTATCGATTACGTAAAAAATAAAGCGTATCAATCTTTGTACATTTTGAAGATACGTGGAAACTGCAAGGCGTGGCACTGAAAATTGACAAGCCCAGCGCAAACCCCAATGGTTTTCTGGATGCTGTAACAGATTGATCACAGCATCAACTTTTATGTCTTTTTAACGAATTAATGTTTTTCTTTGCAAGACTTACCGGTCTATTTCTCATTTGTCACATTTCTCTAGTGTCTTATTTTCAATTATTTTGATAAACGCATTCCACTAATAAACGCCACCATCACACAAATGACACATAAAACATTTCAGAAGCAGGAAGGTCTGTTTGAGAAGAATGGTACGTATTTTAAATAGGCAGGAAAGTAGCAGGGAGAGAGAGAGCTTGCAAACTGTCACAAAATAGAGAGAGAAAGGGGGTCTTTTTGGCCTGTCCTTTGCCTAAGTTGTGTTTCTTGTACACGTTCAGTGCCGTCGGAATGAAATTCATATTGGGGGGGCTGCCCATTTTTCTCCTTCTCGTTCAGTAAACTGTTATAAAGGAAACATACTACAGTCTGACAATTATTGGGGGGCACCAGCCCCCCCCCCCAGCCCCCGGTTCCGACGGGCCTGACGTTTATCGTATTGTGACTGAGGAATCATTTTTCCAGGCCTTTTTCATGACATATTTAAGGTTTGTAGATGCTTGAAAAGATCTCACCACCCATTCACTTACTTCCAATATTGATTTTCTTAAGAATTTTAGCCTAAGAGTAATTGCTTGAAATTCGGTCAAGTATCTTTCATCGTATTTCACGAGTACCCTCTTCACCCCTCTTCCAATATTCTACAAGATTGCTCCACGTATTTATTCTACTTTTATTTGACTGAGTGTCTGATGCATATTTGAAGTGTAAATAGCTCATCGTTTCTATC